GCCTGGGCCAGTAGGTCGTCCGTGGTGGCGCTTGCTTTCTTCGCCTCTCGTTGCAGCCACTTTTCCGACTGAGTGGAGCACAGGCTTGGGTCAGGTGCGATACAGGGCACAATCAGACCGCGGCAAGGAAGGAGCGTACCTTCTGGGCGAGGAGGTGCCAATTTAACTGTTGGGAAGCATAGAGGGTGCGGAGAAGTGCCAAAGCGACCGCAGTGGCCCACACAGCTGACGGCGCCACGTCCACAGTCCCCTTCTGCTCAGTACAAATCGGTATATGGTCAGTTGCCAGCCCTCACCTTGCTTACGTAGACCGCGTTGCGTACCCTTGGGGACTTGCCGCCGGTGCTCTTGCTGCGCTTCTTGCCGCCGGCGTCCGGCAGTGCGCGGGCCAGCGCGTCCTTGAATTCCTTCTCGGACAGGGCGGGCGGGAGGAGCGGCAGCAGGTCCTCCGCAGTCCAGCTCCCGTCGAATCTCTGAGCCAACACCAGCGCCCTCATCTCCGGCGGCGGCGGACCCGGCAGCGCCGTGTCGGACCGCCCGCCGTCAGCCTGCGCCGTGGCCTTGGCCTTGGGCTTTGGCTTGTCCTTTCCACTCTCTTTCTGGCCGGGAACGGTGGATTCGCTCGATTCTTCGTCGTCTTCGAATTCGTCGCGCCTCTCTTTGCCCTTGTCGGAGTTCTTCTGATTCATGTTAAGCGTTCCCGCGCCCGCGCTTTCGGGGACTCCCCTCGCGTCGGCGTGTTGATAGTGGTGCTGGCTCTCGCGGCGGCGGGAGTGGCGCCTCTCATCGAGCTTCTTCGAGATGACTTCCTCCTCCAGCGCCTTCATCAGCTGACCCTGGACCTTGCGCTTCTCCCGCGCCGCGCGCTTCTGGTCGGCCGCAGCGATCGACGATGAGTCCTTCTCATTCCTTTCGGCGTTAGGCGCCGACGCCGACGCCGAGGGCGAGGTGGGCGGAGCCGGCGAGGGCGAGACCGAGGCCGAGCGAGGAAGCAGGGCGGAGATGCCGGCCTCGGCCTCGTGGTGAAGCCGTGTGCCCTGGTGCTGCGGCGCGGGCCTGGCGAATGAAGCCCAGGACGGTAGGCCGAGGCGGGGCAGCCCCAGCCCGCCCTTCGCCTTCTTACTCTTCTGTAAGGGTGGTTGCGAGACAAGCGCAGAATTCAGCACGTGCTGTGTGCTGTGCATCTGGCCGGTGCGCGGGCGCAAGGAGTACCTGGCTGAACGGACGACAGCTGATCAGATCATTCTGAGCCTCGAGGCGGGGGATTGAAGCGAGCGTCGAGTATTCGCGCATGACATCCAAGCCGACCGCGTCTGCGGCCTGAGCAACGGAGGTGGCTTCCACCTTGCGCAACTGCATAGTCCCCTCCGTCGCTTCGTCTCGTTCCTGTACCACCAGAAACACACACGACACGCACGATACATCGGCGATGAGCACGGGGAAGCACACACAGGGCGGTATAGCGGTATAGGACCTCGACTGCGACAAAGGTCGTGTAGCGCGAAAGGACTGAGTAGGTCTCTGAGAGTGTAATGATGTCCTCTTCGTGGTCGACCAGATCCTGAGTGTGTGTGCGAAGATGAGCATCGGTTGTCGGAGAGGGGGGGAGCGAGCTATTTCACTGCCGTGGACGTACGTCTGCGACTTCCAGCTCCTTGATGAGTTGCTTGGCGGTGAGCGCATGCAAGGTGGCACCCTTGCGAGGCCTCTTGGGCAGCTTCATCTCTGCAATCGGTACATTTTGTTTGCACGTAAATATCAGGAAATCATGTGCGAGTGCACGGTAGTGCACGTACTGGTCTCCCAAGGCTGAGCGCAGAGCGACCCACGCAGAGTGACTTCCACATTGCATGCCTCGTCCTGGTGCAGGTGTTGCGGTTGGTGATGGCAGTGGTTACAGTTGGGGGGAAAAAATCGATTGGAGAGCCGCACCTTGTTGTCATCGGCAAGAAAGGCATACACGGTCAGGCGCTCCCCAGAGAACAGCGGCTTCAACTGCGCGGGCGTGACTTGCTCCACCGCAGCCGAGCCCCAGTCGAGCTGCAGATCGCTGAGCGCCGGCTGCAGCACGCGCTCCAACTGGCGCATGACTATTGTCACGTCGAACAAAATGATTCGATGAGATTACGGGGCGTGGGGGGGGGGCGTGAGAAGTACTCTTGGCATCCATCAGCGGTTGATCAGCAGTGACGAACTCGGCGACACCGTTACCGGCATCGGCCAGGCCGCGGACCAGTTCTTCGCTCGCATCGGCGCCGATACCAAACGTAAACACTGCAACCAGCCCCGCACAAGACAAGGCGTTTATAAAACCTCCGCTTGCTCGCGCGCAAGTCGAGTATTTGTACCTCGTGTGTGGCGCGATTGTTGGAGTACAAAGGCGACGCACTCGGAGGTGTTGAAGACCTCGCCGTCTTGTAAAGATCAGAGTTATGAGTTGCTAGTACCGAGTGGATTGATTGCTAGTTGAGCGCATACCGGTAAGGAGCAGGATCTGGCGGAGCTGCCCGGGCTTGGGCTGGCTCTGGGCGACCTTCTCGAGCACCTTCAACACGTCCGTGCCGCCCAGGTTCGCCTTCATCTCCGACACATACTTGGTCGCTGTGATTCGTTTTCAGAGTTAAAAAATGACACACACAGTGTGGGTGGGTGCGAGCGTGTGTACCGCGCTGGAAGCTCTCAGGCGTATACTCCACCGACCCGTCCTTGAATAGAAAGTCAACTCTCGAGCCGAACCCAGCGATGTTGAACAGTACGCCTTCGGGGAGGCTTCGAATCAGGAGCTGCAAACTGTCTCTGACCTGCGCGTGGGGCATGGTCAGGAGGACACTAGCAGGAGGGTGCTAAGTCAGGTGCGCTGTGATTGATACGTACCTGA